CTTAAAGTTCCTGTACAGAAAAAGGAAAACATGAACAAGAATAAAAGACAAATGGAAAATCTGACATTTCTGCAATGTCAGAAAGATAGTTGAAACCTCATGTATGTGAAGGATTCTCACAAAAAGGTAAAATATTTAAATATGAAAAGAACTTAAAGTATCACTTCTGAATAAAAGAAATACTAATCAGCCAGGCACAGTGACAAATGCCTATACTCTCACCATGGTGCCACCACCATAAGGCCATCATCAGAGGTAGGACCAATGGGAGCTTCTGATTTTGGACTTTTAACCTCCAAACCTATGAGCTAAATAATCCTCTTTAAGTAACCAGCATCTGTTATTTTGTTATAGTTAATGAAAAACTGATTTATACAAGGATAACACTAGGCAAAATATAAGTTTAATACATGTTAGTTGAATGTACCATTTGGGATAATTCAACTCTTAATTCTATTTATAAAATATAGATTATAGCTACTTTGGTCCTTTTTGATGTTACATCTGCCAAACTACATAAGGCAGCCTCTAAACTTGGTATAAAATGATCCCAAAAAGTTTCCTGAATGAGTCACCAAAATAGGTGAAGGGGCCTTCTAATATAGAAGCTGCCTCCCCTGCTTGCTTCTGAATCCTGAGGGCTTATATGGGAAAGGGCAGACTTCAGAAGACTATAAACAGGTCATAAGAGAGATGGTTTAGCTGCTTTGATAGTTTGGATGGGAGATTGGAGATAACTTCCACGCCACTGGTGATCAGGGAGGTGAGTTGGGCAGAGAAGATGTGCCCAGGTATTGCTGGGGGTTAGGGATGGATTTCCCCATTGACATCCCTTTATGATTCTTTTGTAAAGATTTAGAATGCTTTTCAATGCTCTCCCCCCATGCTGGGCTGTCCCACTTGCTGCCCCAAGGGAGCAGCCTTGCTGTGTCACCCACACCCTGCACTCCTTAGCCATGCCACCTCAGACTGTGAGGGCCTCCACTGCAAAGTTGGGTGAAGCCCAAAGACAGGCATGCACTGAAAGAACTTGACCATCCACAGGAGGTACCAGAAATTCAAGCACCACTGAACCAAGGGATGCCTGGTGTCACAGACCCAATGTCTGTGTTCCTCCAAAATTCACATGCTGAAATACAAATCACCACACAATGCTATAATATTTGGATTTGGAGCCATTGGTAGTAATTAGGTCAGAAGGGTGGTGCACTCAGGAAAGGGATTTGTTGCCCTTTAGAGGTTGCATCTGCAAGCCAGGCACAGCCTCACCAGAATAACCTTATTTTGAACTTCCAGCCTCCAGAACTGTGAGGAGGAAATTCCTGTTATTTTCAATCCCTCTACAGTATTTTGTTACAGCAGCCAGAACTAACACCTGGCTAGGGACAAGGGGCCTGACTTCTGGAAATTTCCCTGAATGAGGGCAATCCCTGACCTATCAATAGAGGCCTTATACTGGTCCCTTCTGTGTTTTAGTGAATCTAATGTTTCTATAGAAAAAGTATTTTCCTTTCTTGGGCTACATACTCATGACTCCTCTTATTTCTGTTAATGACTAACAACTAAACATCAAGACTTTTTTTTTTCTTTTTTGTGTACTGCAGATTGACCTCTGAGCTACATCCCCAACCTTTTTTATTTTGAGACAATATGTCACTGAGACTGGCCCCAAATTTACAATCCTCCTGCCTCAGCCTCAGCCTCTTGAATAGCTTGGATTACAAGCATGTGYCACCACACCTGGCAAAACAATTGTTTTTTAAGAGGCATCTGTATTAAACTTATATAGTCATTTGAGTGGGAAAACATATTACTGAGTAATATATAAACATTTTTCTTTAACTGATTTAACAGCCTCTTTTGAGGAATAAGAAGAGGAAGAACTAAATGAAAGGAAAAACCAATTCCTAGCTGCCACATGCCCTGTAGATGGCAGTGACTCTCACAAGGTGGTCCACAGCCCAGCCATATCGAATTCACASGGGTAATTAAAAGTACAAGTGACTGGTCTCTAGCCACAGAATCATCGCATCTGGATAGAGTCCAGGAATCTATGTCATAGCATTGCACTAGCAATCCTGATAACCGCCAAAGTTTGAGAACCACCTCCAGGGAAAGGCCAGTCAGCTCCTGATAGTGACAGTCCCTACCAGATGCCTGGAGCAGCTTCTCTTACCCCACAACCAGCAATATCCTAGGAGTAGGCACAAGCTTCCCAGATCCCAACTCTCGCAATGCAAACCCATTAAGAAAAGCAAAGTATCCCAATTGTAYGGTGACATAATTTAACTGGGATTAAAAGTAGGTCACCAGCACAGTGGCACTTACCTGTGATCCCAGGATTCAGGAGGCTGATGCAGGATGATCACAAGTTTAAGGTCAGCCTGGGAGGTGTAGGGAGACCCTGTCTTAAAAACTAAAAGGGGCTAGGGGTGTAGCTTATTATAAAGTKCTGCCTGGGTTTAATCCCCAGTACCATCACAAACAAAAAAAAAATTATTTTAAAAAAATACTCCTACTCCCTCTTCCCAACACACCTCAAGTCCTTTGAGGACAGCAAAGGTCCAACTGGCACTTATAGACATTGCCCCAATGGCCAAGCACACTGCTGTCTTATCTCAGCTGTTCAACAGCATGAAGTGAATTGAAATATTTCCTCCTGAGGAGCATAGACTTCACACAATAGTAGTAAGGGATGTTTTGATAGCATTTTTAAAAGGCTTAACGCTGAACCCAGGAGGAAAACTCAAAAGCAACATCCCTTACTCTTCCCAGCCAAGTGGCTCCTCCTTGCCAAGTGACATTAATGCCTTCACATGATCATCAAGCATCGTGTTTTAAACAGTAACACTACCACCTCTTTGGTTTTTGTGTTTCTGATTTCATCCTGTCCAGGCTCTTCAACATTTGCACCTTATTGTCTTTAACAATAAAGGCTTCATCAGGACTCACACCCATAAAAGAATCTTTTGGTTAAGGAGAAACATTTTCTTGAATAGCATTTGGCCTTGGACTTTTATTCATTATTATTGTTTTCATCTAGCATTCATTTTGTGTCAAATATTTCTCTGGATATTTTGCATTTATTCATGTCTTTTAACACTCGGAATAAACCCACTTAGTGGTGCTATTATTCATCCCCTTTCGAAAGGAGGGTGCCCAGGAGGAGCAAAGGTGTAAAGAGCCAAGAGCCCATTGCTGGCCCCAGGATGCTGAGAGCAGAGCCCTGTGGGCCAGAGCACCTGGTCTCAGTTGGCTTCTTCCCCAATCCACAAACCCACCAAAAGAAAGGTGGCCTTTGGGTAGCCCAAGTCCCCAGGAAGAATGTTCCAGGTGGCTGAGAGCCCAGAGATTCCATTCCCAATGAAAGCTGGGGAAATGACCCAGCTGGTCATTCAGCCTGGTCATCCAAACCGAGTAGTTAACTTTTTTCTTTTGCCCTTTTCTGAAAATAAAATAGTCACAAAGGAATTTTGAAAAACAAAGACACAAAACAAAAGCAGCCCCTATTTTAAAGACAGGTGGGTGGAGAGAAAACACTCCTAAGAGTTAAAAACTTAGTGGTCACAAATTCCTGTTAAATGACAGGAAATGCATGTCAGGGTCTGTTCCGCCCATAGCAGCTCTTTCTCTGAGAATTTCACCTCCATATCTATGGTCATTCACAGTCCTGGCTCTTGACCACCCTGATGCAGCTCAGGCATGGACARATGACCACAACTGGGTAATGAGAGGCCCCTCTTAGCTATCGAGAACTCATCCTCCAGTTCTGGAGGCCAGAGGTAGGGCTGTGTTAGGGATCTGTGGGAACACCACAGACGTGGGCAGGCCCAGCACATGGGTCTTCCAGGAGAGAGGAGTAAAACCCACGTGTTCAGGGGGATGAGTGACCACAGAACCCAGACTGATGGGGAGTGGGCAGGGCCTGGAGTAGACAGCCTTAACTTCTGGACCAGGCCTTCCCAGGGCCTGCCCCACTCCTGCCCTTTTGCTACAGCCGGATCCAGTGGATTTCTGTTTCTTGTGACCAAAAGAGAATGAGCAGTACAGAGTGATAAGGCATATAGCCCCCCAAGACCTACAACCCTACAGGCTACCTTGTGTTATAGTTTGGATATAAGGTGTCCCCCAAAAGCTCATGTGAGACAATGCAAGAATATTCAGAGGTGAAATGACTAGATTATGAGAGCTGTAACCTAATCTGTGGATTAACTGGGTGGCAATGTAAGCAGGTAGGGTGTGGCTAGAGAAAGTAGGTCACTGGGGGTAAATCTTTGGGGATTATATATTATCTCTGGTAAGCAGAACTCTTTCTGCTTCCTGGTGACTAGGACCTGATCATTTTTCTCCACCACGGCCTTCCTCCATGATGCTCCACCTCACCTTGGACCCAGAGCTATGGAGTCACCCTGTCCCTCTATGGACTGACCCTCCAAAACCATGAGCCAAAATAAATTTTTCCACCAAAATAAATTTTTCCTGTCAGGTATTTTGGTCACAGCAACAAAAAGGCTAAGGCTCACTAACACACATTACCTGCCCAACTTCTCTCCTGAAGCTTCATGGTGCCAGGGTCCCCTGGATTTCACCTTACCTCTACCAGCTTTGCCTGTGTACTGAACTTCCCCTGCCCCATAGCACCTCCCTAGCTCGGGGGCTCTGTTTTTCAGTTGCCCATCTGGACAACTGATCAGAGCCAATTCAGAATTAAAGCCCATCATCTTGCAACTGCTCCAGCTCTTCAAAGCATCCCTTTCTTTGGATCCTCCCCAACAATACCCAGTTGAAAGCTGAGCAAACGCTGAAGGCGAAGCAATACAGGAGATTGACCAGCAAAGCCTGGCATTGATGTAGCCTCTTTCCCAACCCAAATTCAACCAGTGGGGCAAAGGAACCCCAAGAAAACTCATCAAGTGGGCAAAAACCTTTGGTTATACTCTTAAATCTAAAGGGCTCAGGGTCCCTCTTTCCCCCTCCCTACAGACACTCCTGGACTGTACCTGGGAGATAAACGGTGCCACCATCGCACCAATGCGACACAGGGAGCCGCTGGTCCCCATTCCCAGAGCGCGCATCGTGGTGGGGTAGACCTGCGGGRCAGGGGCATGGAGAACACCAGTCAGTGACTGTTCCCAGAGTTCTCCTCTTCCCTCCCAGATCAGCCTTTGTTACAAACATACTGAACACCACATACCTTCAGAACACTCAAGATGCTCCTTCTCTCTGATACAYACCTTTGAATTCCACCACCACCACCACCCCCAACCCCACCCCGGCCCCCGCCCCAACCAGCTCTGGGAATAGAACCCAAGGGCTTGGGCATACTAGGCAAGAGCTCTGCCTCTCAGCTACATCCCCAGCCTCGCCGCAGCCCCTCCCCCCTTTAAAAAATTTTTGTTTTGAGACAAGGCTTTACTAACTTGCTAAGCCTGGCCTTGATCTTGCAAGCCTCCTGAGTCACTGGGAGTACATGCATGTGACACTGTACCCCCACCCATCCATATGAGCAGAGGTCTATGAGGAACTCTTCAGCTATCTCAGGAAGTACCTTATATCTCRTTGCTGTATTAATTCAGTAAACTAATGCATATGGAATAAATCACAATTATATTCAAATGTAAGTCCACAGTGCACCAACCAACAGAGAGAAGGTGAAATGGTCTTCCAAAGTAATGAAGGTGAAAAACACATTGTAATTTTAAGAGGGAGAAACAGGAGCTTCACCCGGAGCAGCAACACACTGCTCCTGACTCTTGACTCCTGCAGGCTGTGGTCAGGGTGATGGCTTGTTTTGTGCATGTAGTGGAAAAGGGAGAAGGTCCCATCTTTCCTCTCACAGTGTCTTTCAATAGACTAAACAGGGAGGTGAAAGTCCACATCAAACTTGCTAGTGCCATTTTCATGGGCTGTCTTGAGAACATAATTGACAGAAACCAGGGGCGCATTGTCTACAGAAGGACACCCTGTCTAAGTGGCTCACTTGAATGCCCTGAAGTAACTCACCTCTGGGAAAACCCTTCTGGGAAACTCACCTCCGCAGTGTAAATGTAGATGGTGTTGAAGTTGGCCGCCACCAGGGCCCTGAGCATGAAGAGGAAGCCAATAAGGCCGGCACTAGAGGAGAGAAAGCCAAGGGAAGTCCTAAAAGCCATCACGGAGGGCCACCCGGGGTCCCGCTCCAAGTGCTTCGCAGACACTGAAGCAGCCACTTGTCACTCAACCAGAGGGAGGCACTGCTCTTAGAAGGCTTAATGATGGGGTTCAACTACCTCCCAAGTGGGTCATTCCACCTGGCCTCCTAGATGAGYACATGCCCTGAAAAAATGGTACAGTTTTCAGAACTGATGATATGCATTCACCCGTCAGTATTCGGGACAGACTGGTTCCAGGACACTCCCCTGACCTGGTGCATACCAAAATCTGAGGATGCTCAAGTCCCTTTTTTAAAATGGCATCGTATTTGCATTTAACCCCATACTCCTGTACACTTTACATGTCTCCAGGTTAGTGTAACATCTAGTACTTATTTATAAATACTGAATAGTAGTGTAAATACAGTAGTGTTTAGGGAATAACACAAAGTAAAAAATTCGACACATGCTCAGTACAGATGCAAAGTTTTTTTTTTTAATATTTTCAATCTAGGGGCTGGGGAGATAGCTCATTTGGTAGAGTGCTTGCCTTGCATGCACAAGTCCCCAGGTTCAAACTCCAGCACCACCAAAAAAAAAATATATTTATATTTTCAATCTATGGTGAGAACCACAGTTGCAGAGGCACACTGTATATTATAGCTCATGCCTCTCTAGGACTGCACATTAAGAGTGAAATCAATCTTACCCCACAGATCAGCTGTCCCTATCAGAGAATTTGGTAAACAACTAGGGTTGTTCTCYAATCCTCCAGGAAACTTTGCGTAAAGATCCTAAGTATTTTGGTGGGAATCCCAATGCTTCACCTCTATCCTGAGAGCTGAGAGGTGCAGGAGCAGTAGGAGGAGGCAAATATGCTTGGAAGGCACCAGGTACTTGCTCTCCACTCTCTCKGGAAAAGGGACTCATGCCAGACCCCAGTGAACACTAGGGGTCTGGAGACCTCATTGGAAACCATTGTAAAAAACTCGTTTGTCTTGAAGCAATGGAAGGACAAATACCTTGAAGTACAAATATTGAGGAGGAGGAAAAACAAAGCCGTGCACCCCATGGTGATAGCAAGGCTCAACCGTCTCCCCAGGAAGTTGATGCCCAGGATATTTAAAGGATTCACTGGAAGGCAAATAGCAAAGACAATTTTTGGAACTTTAACAGACAAGTGACATTTCATGACCCCTAGCCAGGAGTCATGCCTGTTATTTCAGAAAAGAACAACTTTCTCCCAATGTCTCTGGTATTCCATCTAAAACCCACTCACACTGTCATCAAACTCACGACTCCTTCAAGACACTTTCCCCACAGGGGTCCCCAGGATGGTGCACGTGGATCTGTTGTTAATGGTCAGTTTGCTGGACCTATATTTTAAATGTTTTATACAGTTTCTCATTGAATTCAGAGTGCCATTGATTTTAAGTACCATCATTTTATGTCAACTAAGACAGAAATAATGTTGCCATTTGAAATCTAATGAGTTATTTTAAGACACATCCCAATTTCTGAGATGTTAAGATGTGGGGGGAAATGCAACTTAACATAATAATTCAAAGTTTTACGCCTCTGGACCCTTCTTTCCCATACCAATCCATGTTGGAGACATGTCAGCATGATTGAGGGTCTTGTGCAATTCTACTAGGTAGGAGCCACATCATAGGTTGCACTTCTCTCCCGAGACTCYAAATGGTGTGTACCCAGCCTATTATGGTTTGGATATGAGGTGCCCCTCAAAAGCTCACATGTGAGACAATGCAAGAACATTCAGAGTGAAATGATTAGGTGATGAGAGCCTTGACCAATTAAGTGAATTAATCCCCTGGGAGAATTAACTGAGTAATAACAGAAGGCAGGTGGGGTGTGGATGGAGGAAGTGGTTCCTTGGGGTGTGATTTTGGGGTATATATTTTGAATCTGGTGAGTGGAGTCTCTCTCTGCTTCCTGATCATCACGTGAGCTGCTTCCTGCTGCCACATTTCTCTCCACCATGACATTCTGCCTCACCTTGAGCTCCAAGGAACAGAGCCAGCTGTCTATGGACTGAGACCTCTGTAATCATGAGCCCCTAAATAAACTTTTCCTCCTCTACAATTGTGCTAATCAAGCCTGTTAGTCATAGCAGCAAAAAAAAAAAAAAAAAAAAAAGTTGACTAAAACACTGACTAAAATACAGAGGGCCCCAGCACAAAGGGACACTTACAAGCAATTTCCCCAATGGTGCTGATGATCATTGTCCGGTAGTCAGACGGGGCAAACAGGTGGCAGTGGCAGGGACTGTGACTCTCCTGCGAGTCCCCCCCAGTCACCACCACCACCTGTGACTCTGACTTTGAACCACAGACCAGGTCCCGCTCCAGCAGCTCGGCACTGGCCAGGATAACCCCGTAATAGGCAAAAGAGATTCCCAGCCTGGGAGTGAGAAAAGGACATCATTAGCAGACGTGAAGGACGGAGGAAGCTCAGGAGGCAGATGGCAGGGAGAGGAATCCACGTGGAAGTCACAAGACAGAATGTGCAAAAGGAACAGAGAACCCGGCTCACACAGTATCATGCAAATGTCTTTGGGGAAACACGTGTGCATTTCTGTTGGGTATAAACTGAAGAATTATGGGGCCACCGGGTAGGCACATTTCAATTGTAACAAAGTCTGCCCTGATGTGAGCTGCAGTCAGCTGGTGCTAGCATTAGTCTTTTTCATGTTAGCCATTCCCATGGACTGGTCTCTTGCTAGGTGTTAATTTGTATTTCCCTGGTGACATACATGTGGCATTGGGGACAGCAGCATGTTTGACAAGTTTTTCTGATGCACACATTATGAGTGACCTATCTGTTCAAGTCTCTAATTTATATATAATATATATTTTAGCTGTTGATGGACCTTTATTTTATTCATCTATTTATATGCAGTGCTGAGGATCAAACCCAGCGCCTCACACGTGCTAAGCAAGCGCTCCACCRCTGAGCCACAACCTCGGTCCCTYTAGTCTTATTTTTAAACTGGGTTGTCTTACTGGAAAAATTACAAATATCAATAAAACATTTTTACACAGATGTATATATGAATCTCTCTAAAATGTTTGTTGCCTATTAGAGCAAATTTCTTCTCCCAGTTGGTAGCTTACCTTTGGGGATTCTCATGATAATTTATGGTGCAGTTACTAACCTAATGTAGTAAAAGTCATCAAACTTTTCTCTTATCCTTAGCCCCTTTTTGTGTCCTGATTAAAAGGGCTTTGCTTACTCAGGTCAAGACTGTAAAGGAAAAAAAAAGCAGCACACAGGGGACCACAAGAGGCTAACCCACTGGTCACTGTTGACTTCGAGGGGTCAGTTTCYGTCACGAGGAAACGAAAAATGAAAAGGCTACAAAAGTGCAAGTGAGAGACTATTTTCCTTTTTTATTTTATTTATTTATTTTTTAAGTACCGGGGATTGAGCTCAGTGGTGCTCTACCTTAGCTACATCCCTAGCCATTTTGTGAGACAGGGTCTCACTAAATAACTGAGGCTGGCCCTGAAGGTGGAATCCTCCTGCCTCAGCCTCCCCAGTTACTGGGATCACAGGCGTGCACCACCACATGCGCCCCGATAAGAAACGTTTAAGAACTTGTTGTAGCTGAATGTGGTGGGKCACGAGTGTGTGCGCCCAGGTGCTGAGGAGGCTGAGGAAGAAGGATCACAAGTTCAAGGCCAACCTCAGCAATTTAGTGAGACCCTATCTCAAAATAAAATGAGAAGAGCAGAGGATGGACCCAGTGGTAAAGCACCCCACATTCAATCCCTGGTGAGGGGGGAAATGCCCATAGACAATTAGGGTTTTGTCTTTCTAAAATTTTTACTTACTCATTTGTGGTGGTGGTGTGGTGTGGTGGTGGTGTGGTGTGGTGTGCTGTGGTGTTAACAGATAAGACATTGCTAAAGGAAATATTTGGAGTCTATCTTGTGTTTTTCTCCCCAGTGGTGATGAGTGAATTTACAGTAGTCCCCTTATCTGCAGGACACATGTTCCAAGAACCCCCGTGGATACCTAAAACCAGAGAGTGCTGAACCCTATATATAGTATGCTTTTCCCTATACACCCCTGTGATAAAGCTCAATTTATAAATGAGGCACAGCAAGAGAGAAACAACAACTAAAGATAAAAGAGAGCACCTATAACAATAGACTGTAACCAGACTTAGAGGAGCGTAGTCGCTCTTGCTTTGAGGAAGTCAAGACAAATATTAATATTATCAGACCATGGTTGACCACAGRTAACGGAAATCATGGGATGTAAGACCACAGATGAGGGGGGACCACTGTACATAAGTGGGATTCCTCCAAATACCCATTTTTTTTTTTTGGTACCAGGGATTGAACTCAGGGGCACTTGACCACTGAGCCACATCCCCAACCCTATTTTGTATTTTGTTTAGAGACAGGGTCTCACTGAGTTGCTTAGGCTGGCTTTGAACTCAACAATCCTCCTGCCTCAGCCCCTAGAGCTGCTGGGAATATAGGCGTGCACCACCAAGCCCGGTCAAATACCCATTTATTTAAAGCTGGTTTTTAAATAACTGCATTCTTACCATATGACCCAGATCTGTAATGTGGTCCGTAGGTACTTAGCGTCCAGTAGGTCTGCAAATCTTCCTCTTTTTTCCTGACATTATCAAAAGGGTCGGGGAGGGGGACAGAAGACATTTAGCAGGTTAAGAACGAGCAAACGTTTCTGCGATATTTGGGATCATAGGGAACAAGGATAATATGGGTATGGTAGAGTGAGATGACCACTTGGTCCCCGTGGCACAGCTCACCAAGCCTTTAGAATATTGTTTATAACACATGAATCTTAGCCAGCCGCTGTCATTGGCACATAGAGGCACTCAGTGGACTTAAGGCCCAATTCTTCCATTCTTGCCCTGCTCACTGGTGCTGGTGCAGGGGTGGGGAGGGAAGGAGGAGAAATTAAAAGTGACAGTAAAACGAATGGGCGATTCTTTTGAAATTAACAAATAAAAACATATGTTAAAAAAAAAGTATGAAACAGGGTGCAGTGGCACAGGGCTGTCATCCCAGGTACTCAGGAGGCTAAGACACAAGGATCGCAAATCTGAGGCCAGCCTCAGGTAGGTGATGTTGCCATTTGCATTTTATTGAGAAAAATGAAGTTAGAGAACTAACCAGAGCACATGGCAGCAGCCCACAGTGAGGTTCACCAGAGCCTCAACACTGATCTGCTCTCCCCAGACCATCCCTGCCTCCAAGGGGAGGCTAGAGAGCTAACTAAAGTTGCCTTCCCCGCTCCAGTGGCAGAACTCACCAGAATGGGCTCCACCAGCCTCCCCTCCGGCATGACCGAGCGGTTCATCCTGGCAATGCGCTCTAGGGTGGCCAGGGCAGCCTGGGTGTTCCCGGTGGAGACATTGAACCGAGCCGATTCAGGAATAAACTGGGCACAGATGACAAAGGACATGAGAGTTGCGACTGTTGCAGACGCAGAGCTAGCRCTGTGATGGCTCTGTAAACACCACCCTGTTTCCCGAGGTGGGAAAAGAACCAGGCCGCTCGCCAGCGCACAGCCCAGCAGGCTTCTGCTGACCTCCTGTGGAAACTTGCCTCTAGGCAGGGAAATCTAGGGAAGACCGAAGCCTGGGCTAAAACCAAAGGAGGAAGTGTCAATGTTTGAATTTAATTGAGATTTAAAACACACACACACACCAATTACAGGCTTTAGGTTCTAGGTTTAAAAACTGATGCAAAACAGACCCTGGGGATGCAGTTGATCCAAACCCATCAGAATCCAGCTGTGGAGGGCAACTTGCGATAAAGTCCTGGTCCCTACCAACAGAGGCAGGCGGACACTAGGCAGTAGGCTGCTGGACCACTGATCCCAGAGCACCATGGGTTTACGTGGGATTCTGAGCAACTGTTCACTGCATCAAAGATGCTGACCAACTGGGCTTTCCACAAAGAGAGAGGCAGGACTCTGAAGCCAGCTATCATGGAAAAGACTTGAAAGTAATAAATTACGGGGAAGAGGCTTAGGAGGGCCTCCCTTAAACACTTGGAGGATGTCATGGTGAGAAGAGGGACCTCTGGTTTTCCAGAAAGAAGCAGTAGGACCTGCAGGTAAATTTATGAAGTCTTTGATTGTAACACAGAACCGCCTAACACCTGGAGCTGCCGGGAGATGGAGCTACTATAGAAAGCTATAAAGTCGCCGCAGGCACGAAGCCGGGAGTCTTCTGGCAGAGACCTGCCAGGGGTGTGCCTGAATTCGGTTAAAGGTTGGAAGAAATGACCACTAAGGACCCTCTGAGTTCTGATGCTCTTTGATTCCGCAGTGTAGGTGACACAAAGGGATCAGAGCCCCACTCTGCTGAGCAGCTGATTCTATCTTTAACGAAGAGCAGATTCTGCTGGAAGCTAAGGATTCTGCAGCTGAGCACCGCACAGCCTGGTGGGAGAGGAGAAGGACAGGTGGGCAGGCCTGCAGTGGCCCAAGAATGCATGGACAGCATCAGAGGGCGTGTGCTCAGGGAGAGAGAGGTCAGGAATAAATGGTGGTGGAGGCCCAGGGGCAGGCTGGTTGGGATACTCTCTAGAGGAAGAAGGTAGATGGGAGAAAGATATTGGAGGGGCAAAAAGGCCAGTGGGCCAGCTGGAGAGGGCCACAAGAGCTGCTCACCTTGAAGGCCATGATGAGGATGATGCCGGGGATGGAGGCTATCCGGATGAGCCAGCGCCACCCGATGGTGGGGATGACCACAGAGGCCAGGCCGATGATGAGCAGGGAGCCAGCCAGCCAGAAAACCTGGGCAGAGACGTGAAAGATTAAATGCCTCCTACCCACCCACATTGCTCAAGGAGAGGACGGGAGGCTCCAAGGAAGGCTGTTCAGGTCCTCCTCCCAGCACCACTTGCACTGCCTGGAGGAAATGGACACTTCATTCCTCCATGACTTTAATTTACTTTTTTAATTTACTCCTCCATGACTCTAATTTACTTCCTGTAAATTAGAGCCTTAGCTAGAGAGAGAGTCGGCACTATGTGGTTTAAAGAACATGGCGCCCTGGGAGTTTCAGACCTTGACTTTTTTTCTTGACTAGGTCATGCGCTCCCTGGGTCATAACATAAAAGGCACCAAAAACTGGAAAGAAATGGTGAAAGCACTTTCTTCCCTTAGCTCTCTGCCATCTGGTTTCTCTTCCCAGTGGAGTCAATAGTACCAGTCTCCTCTCTGTCCTTCCGACGCTGTTCTAGACACATCCAAGCTAATAAGGAGGCGTTTTGTTCTTTTTTCACAAAGGGTACCAGAGACTACACAACATCCACACTTTGACTTTTGTACTTGCAAGTAATACCTTGGAGACAATCTTATATCAATAAATAACAGCCCACTGGGGCCTGGTCTCCTCGTCAGAAATCGGAACAAGTCCCAGCTTTCACCTGAGCATGAGGGGTAAGGCGACTCCACTCTACCTCACAGAGATGGGAGAAGGTACCCTACTAGAAGGTTCCTTGGGAATCCTTGGGGGGGGGGGACTCTTTCAAAGAATTCTATTACCAAAAAAGAAAAAGATTTCATAAAGAGACTAGAGCTATAAAGGAAGTAGAATAATGCGATAAAGCGTGACTTGGGTGATCAGGGACAACTTTTCTGAAGGAGCAACAAATAAGGGGACTGCAGTAGACCAGAAGGTGGTGTGGCTCTGGGTGGAACTTCAGTACCAAAATGTCAAAATTCTTTAGTGGACTCGACACATTTTTGAGGTAAATGTGGCAATGTTGGGTGAGGGACACTTGGGTCAAGGCTACACCAACAGGGGATGAGTTAGCAGCAGTGGGGGTTGACCAGGTGGGGTGAGGGGAAGGGAGGGTCCACAATGGCTCTCAAGTTTGTGGCTCCAGTGACTGAGGGGGTCCTGTTTGCTATGACCGCAGAACAGACACACAGAACCAAGGGGCTTCCGTGAAGATGAAGAGATTAGCTGTGAGCAGGTTGTATCTGAGGAACCTGTGAAATCCAGGTGAGGGACTCAGGTGATTGACCTCTGGGGTCTGAAGTTCAAGGAGGGGCCTGGGAAACAGATTTCTGGAGGTGGAGAGACAACAGCCTAGGTACAGTCGGCCATCCATGCCTGTAGGCCCTGGATCAGCAGAATCTGCGTCTGGGATTTCAAACAACCAAGTTTCAAAAGTATTCAAGATCAAATTGTGTCTATACTCAACATGTACAGATTTTTTTGGGGGGGTCATCATTCCCTAAATGCAGAACAACTATTCACATAGCTTTCATAGGTGTAGGTATTTTATGTCATCTAGAGATAACATATGTTATTTTTTTTTTAAGAGAGAGTGAGAGAGGGGAGAGAAGGAGAAGGGGGGAGAGAGAGAGAGAGAGAGAGAGAGAGAGAGAGAGAGAGAATTTTTAATATTTATTTTCTAGTTCTTGGCGGACACAACATCTTTGTTGGTATGTGGTGCTGAGGATCGAACCCGGGCCACACGCATGCCAGKCGAGCGCGCTACCGCTTGAGCCACATCCCCAGCCCATGTTATATGCAAATAATGCACCATTCATATAAGGAAGCTAAGCATCACCGATTTTGGTATGCTCTGGATCCTAGAACCAATCTCTTACAGATACCAAGGGACAACTGGGAAACCACTGGAGTAGCATGACGACCCAAGGAGATTCGAAAATAAGACTAACAAAAAAGGGATAGAACCAGGAAATATGCCAAGGCACTAGGCAGATGAAAATGAGCTTTGTTCATTAAATAATTTTAAGTATTAAATGCTAAGTATTAAAAGTGTGTGCAACCACCTTAACACAAGTCTGAAGAAGAAACCTGGGAGTAAGGTAGAGTTACTATCTGGTGTTGCAGGGTTTTTTAGATTTTTTTTCTTGTTATTTTTATTGCCCAAATTCAGTGTCCCCTTTTCTAGGGGAATTAAACCCAGGGCACCTTACCCCTTAGATACATCCACAGCCCCCCACCCTCTTTTATTTTGGAACTCAGGATGTTCTTAAGTTGCYGAGACTGGCTTCCAACTTGTGATCCTCCTGCCTTAGCCTCCCACGTAGTTGGGAATACAAATGTGCACCACAGCACCTGGCTCAAAACATTTTTGTTAAAACATTCTCTGACTGCTTTACTTATTGCCAAATACATCCTACTTTAGCGGGAAGAGTCATTTTTTTTTTCCTGGAACCCCCTGCCTGTTGATAGAAACTTTGGAATACTAAGGGCATCAMAACTGGTACAGGGTAGCTAGACCRACATCTCTTCTAACTGCAAAACCTYTCAAAGGTCAGCTGGGACCTGAGGGCTCCAGAGCATCCCAGGCTTCTCCTCTTCAACATGGCAATTATGACACAGTCCCTCAGGCGGGGCCAGTGATGGATCTGCAGATACCAGAATCTTTGGAAGGGGGATGGGACACCCCAATGGGGTGGTAGCTACTTCCCCTCTCTGAAGGGGAGAGAAAGGTGATCCCAGATGCCTTCCTGCAGCYGTCATTCCAGCAAGGCCAGACCCTGGAATATGTCCCGGTCATAGAGGAAGATGGTACTGTGTTCTGAGCACCATCGCTGGATGACATAAGTCCAGTGGTCATAAGGCCTTGGCATCAACCTCTGGCATCAAGCGTTCTCAAGGTTTTTAGTTAGTGCAGAAAACAGGCAGCGAGCCAACCAAAGGTCAACCAGCCAGAAGAAATTCTGCCAGGTCGCATCCTCGTGAAAGCAGAAGACGGGGCCCAACGCCTACTTCACCTTACCTGAGACAAGGGGAGCATGTAGCCTCGATATTTAGTGGGCAAAAATTCAGTCTTTATGATTAACCTAAACAAGAAGGGCAAAAACAGAGTTATTATCACTTTCCTTAAGCAATCTGGTCACAGAAATGAAGCATTCAAAAGCATCATCATTCACTGGACATCAAAATAAAATTGTTACAGGGCTAGGAATGCAGCTCAGCGGTAGAGTGCTTGCCTAGCATGTGCAAGGCCCTGGATTCCATCCCCAGCACAGCCGAAAGAAAAATACATATATTACATACGTGTAATTGCTACAACTAATGTCCACATGAGAGAACAGTGAGAAGGGAATGTCCCAGTGCTTCTGTTGCCATTTCTACTCTGAAAGTTACTTCAAACCCTCTTCACCCATTTCAGATATATTAGCCTGACCTTTTGCCYAAACCCGATTCCCTTTTCTAAAACATACCTGGGAAATTAGAATACACCCAAGAGAAGGTAAATAGTTTTCCAACTAACAAGTGTCAAAGCACAGGTTTCCAATTAAGTACATATTAGTCTTGTGAATGGAATAAATGGAATCATATTCCATCAGTTTTCTAATCGCTCTCCTCTGCTCTGATTAGGCAAGGTKGGGCTTTAACATCTTTATTGGACTGTTTCCTGGGGGATGTTTTAAAAGTCAGTTTAGCTTCTACTCCTTTAGGGCTCCAGGCCTCAGATGCTTAACTTATGCCCCAGGAAAGAGCAATACCTTCCCCTACCTAGGAAGGCAGTCAGCTGCTTTGACATCTCCCAATACACTTTACAGATATCTTGCTCCAAGAAATACAGAGAGAATAGCCTGAGGGGCCCTGTTAATTTCAAGGAGGCTCCCCAAACCAGAACACTTAGCTTAAGGACTTTAAAATCCAGACCCTGGCACTTACCCAAGGGCAGGAAGCAGATGAGAATCATATTTCTATTTCAGTATGATCTCGCCCTGTCTTGCACATTCACTCGGGCACAGACTTAGGTCACAGGGCAATAGTGCTTAAAATGGTTAGTCCAAAATGGACTTCAAAAAAATTTTTTTTTAAGTGCTGGGGATTTAACCCAGGGCCTTACCTATAGGCAAGCACTCTACTACCAAGCTATGTCCCCAGCCCTGGACATTTTTTTTTTTTTTTTTTTTTTACACCTAATATGGCACTTTTTATTAGTATTTAGTCTTACCAAAATTTTCCTGGTCAAAAAGTGATAATTAGCCTTGGCAACAACAAAAGCTAACACATTTGCCACCTACCACTCCACTAGCCTCAAGGTCAAGCATCATTTTGATGAGCAAATGGCTCCTACTAGAATAATGAGCAGCCATTATTTTCAGAAATTTTAAAAWCTCAAAAACAATTAGCACAAGTCTATTTGCAAACTGTTGATGCTACTCGTCCATTAGGCACTGAGGAYGTGGGTGTAAATGCCTGTACATGCTTCTTCTCCGGGAAACCACTGGGGCAAGTCTTTACCCTTGGGCGTGGCCAGACACTCCGCAGCCCACCATGGTCCGCAGAAAGACAAACCAGATGTACGAGGGAGAGAAAGAGGTCAGCAAGGAGAAGTAGGCTCCCCACAGGAACGAGATGAGCAAAATCTGAAGCAGCAAAAGACAACTAGTTACTTGACCTGCCTCCGTAGGGGAAGGGGAGAGGATCCCAGGTAGAAGGTGAACGGTCATTGCCATCCAGACATTTCCTGCTCAGAGCTGGTGGGCAGCAGCTCACTGGTCTCCCACAAGCTGAGGCTTGTGCCTCAGCCCAGACCTTCCAGGTTTGGACCATTCTTCAGAAGTGCTCTAATGTGCCCTGCTCACAGGTGAGTACACCAGAAAGCAAAACTAAACCTTCCCTACTCACAGGGCTGTTAGAAGCACAGTGAGACACTGTGTTAGAATGATTATAAGGAGAAACCTCCAGGAATTAATTTTTTCTCTAATTATAAAAGCAATACAATTTGTAATAGAGAATAAGGGAGAAAATAAGTTGAATCAACCTTGATTCTCCCATCTGGAGACAATGCTGTTAATGTGGTTGTGTCTTATTTTCTTTGTGAAAGAAAACTCCCTCACTCCCCATACTGAGGGCTGAGCCCAGGTGCTCTACCACAAAGCTATGTACCTGTACCGGGGATTGAACTCAGGGGGACTCGGCCACTGAGCCACATCCCCAGTCCTATTTTTCATTTTATTTAAAGACAGGGTCTCACTGAGTTGCTTAGTGCCTCACTGTGGCTGAGGCTGGCTTTGAATTTCCGATCCTCCTGCCTCAGCCTCCTGAGCGGATAATTTTACACACATGCCCCACCACCCTTGGCCTCTTTATTTTTCTGAGACTAGATCTCACTAAATTGCCCATGCAAGCCTATAAACTTTCAATTCTCCTGCTTCGGACTCTCCAGTTGCTGGGATTACAGGCAGGCACCATACCCAGCTGAAAACAAATTCTTAATGGCTTTAAAAATTCTAGAATCTTCCCAACAACTTTAGAGACTGAGGAAGCACAATCACATGTTCAAGGCCAGCCTCAGMAATTTAAAAAGACCCTTGGCAATTTAGTGAGACCATCTCAAAATAAAAACTGAAAAGGGTTGGGGATTTAGCTCCGCCATAAAGTGCCCTRGGTTTAATCCCCAGTACCAAAAATAAATAAAATAAAAATTCCAGAATCTACTACACTCTGTAAAACAAAATATAATACGTGTAATGTAATATATAAACCTACTATACACCCTATTGCTTAATGCTGAGGTTGTTTCAGATTTTCTGTTAAAATAAGCTGGAACGATGTCTCTGCATAARTCATCATGTCCTCTCAAATAATCTCAGGAAACCAGATTGTTGGAAGGCAAATTATCAGGTTAGGATAATAGATATTTTCAAGATTCTTGATTCATACTGCCAAACTGAGAGTCCGTCAGTACTGTCAGGGAGGAAATAAGATGTTTCCTCAATCTCCATGGGTTTTTCTTCCCCCCCCTGAGTTCTTGGTTGGGATGGGCCCCTGCAACAAAGAGATTAACAAGCAAAAGCAAAACAAGTTTATTCACAGTTCAGCACATATCACGCATATCACCTGGGAGAAGCTCCCGGGCAAGGCAGCGCAAAGAATGGCTCAGAACCAGGCGAACGTGGCATCTCCAGCTAAAACGTGAGAGCTCCGGGCAGTGACAAGACAAAGGGAAGCCGGGAGGCCTTCAGGGGCSGGAAGGGGATACATACAAGGACAGGGTGGTGCGATGAGCAGGTGGTGCGAGATTCCTCTGGCGCCACCTAGAGGCTCATAAGAGGAGTCCAGAGTTGTCTCCCTAAAGGAGAATTTCTATCCCGACTTTCAGGCAGAAAAATGAGAGGAAGAGGATAAAGTTATTCTGCTGCTTGCTGCTTCTTAATTACTTTTATCTAAAAAATAATTCTATGTCAAGGRGGCATATTTAGAGCTCGGTGTGGTGGTGCACACCTGCAATCTCAGCAACTCAGAAGACTGAGGCAGGAGGATGGAAAGTTGGAGGTCAGCCTCACTATCTTAGCAAGACCCTATCTCAAAATAAAAAGAACTGGGATGTGGCTCAGAGGTAGAACATTCTGGATTCAATCCCCACTACCCACCACCACCACAACGAAAAAGGCAAATTTTGGGGTAACATACATGAATTTCCTTCCATATCAAGAGTCGCTGGTTGTATATTTAACACTTCCTTAAAAAGTTACTTATGGGCTTAATGTTTAATGTCAYTTTGATAAGGAAAAACCCTTTGTTATGTCATTTTGCTTTGATTATCTTCTATGATTAAATATTTCCTGATCAGTTGTATTTCTTCTTTCATAAATGCCTTTTTATGATTTTTCTCCTTTGAGAAGCTTGTGATTAGAAAAAATAAAGAGAAGCGCATATTATGATGTTAATTTAAAATTTTTGCTATTTTATGCACTTTAAGATACACAGCCAATTCTATTAATATTTTCCTTTGAGCTCTCTCTCTTTATGTTTATGCTTCATCAGAAATTAAACAAGAAAAAAAGCTCTGGTTTTGTAACCAATTTTTTATTATTATTAGTTAGGGTTTGAGGAGGTTGTTTGGTTTTTTGGTACTGGGGATTGAACCCAAGTGTACTTTACCTCTGAGCCACATCCCCATTCCCTTATATTTTTTTTTTTTGAGACAGAGTCTTGCTAAATTGCTGAGGCTGGCCTCAAATCTGTGATTCTCCTGCCCCAGCCTCCCAAGTCACTGGGATTATAGATATGTCYCACAGGGACCGGATGAAGACAGTTTTCTTTCTGAAGATAATTTATACCTTGATGTTTAATCTGAGTAGGCATATGGGCTTCAGTTTAGTTTCAAAACAATACAAAATTAACTAATGTGAGTTTGCCTGTTTATACCTGCAAATTTCTACACCCTAATGAATTTTAACTATGCACCTCCCTCAATTCCATATCTGGACTGGGTGTGGGGACAGAAACCTCAGGAACAGATGAAAAACCAATACGACCTACCTGGGATTCAGGGATGTGTGATCAGAAGGGAATTTCTACATTTTCTGTCTTGGATGTTCACAGAAGCATTAGAACACAYACAGAGAGAGAGAGAAAGCAAAAGAACACAAGAAAATGCCAAATCCCACAAGGCCCCACCTACCTTCCAGCGACCATATCTGTCAGCCAGGAGGCCAAAGAGGATGCTGGACACCATGTAGCCAAAAAACACCATCTGGAGGGATGGAGGGAGGGTTGAGGATGAGTTATGCTCTCAGCAGAGTTCTGATGTTTGTTTAGTGCTTGAAGCATTCATCCATCTTAACTGAGGCAGGAGGATCACAAGTTGGAGGCCAGCCTCAGGATCTTAGCAAGACCCTATCTCAAAATCAAAAGGACTGGGGATGTGGCTCAGAGGCAGACTGAAAACCCCCAAGGGGTGCAAGCTGAAGAATGGCATTCCCCAAACCCGTGTCCCTTGCCCAGTCGGCAYGGTCAGGGCTTCAGGGGCAACGCTTATGCTTCCTGCTGGCCCATCCTGTAAGAGGCCCTGGGACTGTTTTGCTCAAAGCACGGACTCTCCCCTTGGCCTGTAGGTGTCCAGGGAGTCACGGAAGCTGGACGAACTTCATTGTGCAGCTGTGTCCTTTGCTACTTTCAGCCTTGGGTGGAGCTGGGACTCCTCCCCTCTTGAGGCTGAGGGACCAAGATGAAGAGTACTTAAGGTATTTTCAAGATTCAAGTGGAGTCGTAATCCACGGGCTCTCAGCTACCAGCTTCCATAACACCCTGCTCCAGACGCCCGGAGCAGCAGCTGGGAATCTTCAAGTCATTGTCCTAAACTTGGAGGAACAAAGGCCACGCTGCCTTTCTAATGTGTCCTTTCTCTGGGTCCCTCCCTCCAGGGGTCACCTTGGATTCCAGGAGCAACAGGCCTAAAGGATAAACGTCTTGCGTCTTGCGACAAGAGCTGAAACCACACCCCAGGCAGCAGGGACACCTACCAGCACCCGGTATTGTGAATTGAACCCAGGGGTGCTCCACCATGGAGCCACACCTCCAGCCATTTTAATTTTGGTGGGGAGAGGCTAAGCTGCTGAGGCAGGTCTCCAACTTGTGATCCTCCTGCCTCAGCCCCCAGCAACAGAACTTCCTCATCATAGACATGACCATCCTGAGATGATCAACCAAACCAGTTTGACCAGGACAGCTAGACCCTCATGCCCCCACCCCATGCTAAAACCTGAAGCTCATGACAATCCCCCCAGAAGACAGAGCTGAGTACCCTAGTCCCCATGCCTCCCCTTGCAATCTGACATAGCTGTCCTGAATATTAAATTCATTTTTGTGGGGCAGTGGGTACCAGGGATCAAACCCAGGGGCACTTCGCCACTGAGCCACATCCTCGGCCCTTTTTATTTTGAGTCAGGGTCTCACTAAGTTGCTTAGGGCCTAAGTTGCTGAAGCTGGCTTTGAACTTGCGATGCTCCTGCCCCAGCTCCAGAGCTGCTGGGATTACTTTGATTATTTGGAGCAAGTGACTAGACCCAGTGTATTGGACTCTGGCCTAGGACCACAATAACAATCCCCAGGTGCACAGAGCAGGCAACTCGGGTAACTGCTTTGCCTCTGCTCCCAGATGATGGTCTCTACTGGACTCAGACTACAGTCGTGAATTTCTACTTTAATTAAAAAGAGCTCTCTATGCCTTCCTGCTGTGCCTTATTCCAACACAGGCAGTGGCCTCTAAGAGCCTTCTTCCTTCATGTGATTACAAGTAAACATAAACTCCCTGCCAACAGCAAAACCAGGCATTCATCAAAAAAAAAAAATCTTGCCGGGCCATGGTGGTGCAGACCTGTTATCCCAGAGGCTTGGGAGGCTGAGACAGGAGGAGCACAAGTTAAAGCCAGGCTCAGCAACTTAGTGAGACCCTGTCTCTAAATAAAACATCAAAAGGGCTGGGGATGGGGCTCAGTGGTTAAGCGCCCCTGGGTTCAATCCCTGGTACCACCAACAACCACCACCCAACAACTCCTCCAAGCAAATATGAATCCCCAGGCAGATCTGTGCATTTTTCTTATTCTCACAGTGGCTCATGAATCCTGAAAAAAATCCAAGAACCTAGCCCTGCCGCCAGTGTCTTCATGGAAGGCCACCCAGCAGGTGTCTGTGCCGTGGCCACGGGTTTCCTGCCTCCCAGCACTTCCAGCTGCTCTGGCCGTTCCTGCCCAGGCTCCCTGGCTGGTCCCCTCCAGGATAATCCAAGGAAAACACAGGAGTTTTGTTTCTTGCACTTTTTTAGCGAGAAGGCCGTTTCTCTCTGCAGCTCGCTGGTCTTTGTCTCCCTTCCTCCCCTTCACCAGGGAGACAAAAGCACTTTGTCCCCAGGGAACCCCAAACAAAGCCACCCTATATATTCCTCCATGACATCAGCCAAGATGGTGCCCGGTGCCCTGTACTTTCTAGGACAGGGACCTTGACTCAAAGTCCTTGTTAACTCCAAAGCTTGAAAGCCCTGTCCTCCTGTAACCCTGTTTGGGACATCACAACACTGACCCCCTCACCGGCCCCTGGGAGCTCTGCCCTTTTCTTCAGGAGCTTATTTTTAGTATAAAGCAGGACTCTTCTGTTTAAGTGTCTTTCTCCAGCACTAACTCCCTGATTCACAAAACGTGAGGGTGTAACTCACCCACAGTCTTCGGTTTTCCCAGGGCGGCTGGTCTGCAGTTATCCTAGGCAGAGCTGCTCCCTTTGGCCTCCCTCCCTTCTGCCCCACATTCCAAATTTAAAGAAAGGCCCTACTTAAATGGTGAAAATGCAAACTGCTCAATCTCTTTTAGCTTTTTTAGAGTATCAGATAAGCTTTGTCATGCCCCCTTAGTCATTAGTGCTGTTGGTCCGTGAGCACAAAACATGTAAACCACGGTGAGGTTTAACTTGTAGAAAAGGAATTTATCTAAAAAGAACTACAGAAGATGGGTGGGTAAGGAGCATACACCTGTCGTCTCAGGAGGCTGAGGTGGGAGGATCACAAGTTCAAGGCCAGCCGCAGCCACCTATTCAGATGCTGTCTCAAAATAAAAAAATAAAAAGGGCGGGGATCTTGCTCAGTAGTAAAGCATCCCTGGGTTCAATCCAGAAAGTCGGTGTCCATTACTTCAGAGAAGGAAAAAGGAGACCCATGTCCTGGATGAGGAAGACYCCACCCCACACACAGACTTCCCCCTGCTCCTCCTTCCCCCCCTATAAAAGCCCTTTGCACCCCTGATCCCCACAAGATGGAACTTCAAAGTCAAGCCCATCTTCCAAGATGCGAGTCCTTGGAAGATCCCGATTGCTTCCCACTGTGAGCTACAGAAAGTCCAGTGGTCCCTTTCCAGAATACTGGGTTTAGCTTTCAATGAAAAACACCTGGAAAAATATACAGTAAAAATTACTAGGGATGTAAGAAAAGCAGCCGGAGGGGAATAGAACAGAGTAGCCACCAGCAATTAACGCCCCAAAGTGGCAGATTCAAAGTCCATCCAAACAGGAAGTGGGGGAAGGTGCTGGCCTGACCAATAGAGAAACCAAGCGCGTGTCCCAAAGTACCCAGCCCATCAAGGGCTTCCTGCCACCACCAGAGAACAAAGGGAGGTGGAGACCGCTGAAGGTACAATTCTTTAAACTAACAGGAGACAGTAAAACCTATGTGACATCCTGGAAGATGATGTTCCCTGCAGTAATTAACAAGTCAGGAATCAGAGGAGGGACCTTGCCTCCTAGGTGAGAAAATGCTGATTGCAGGGCTGGACCTGGTGGGGGGGGGGCGCGCCTGTAATCCTAGCAGCTCAGGAGGCTAAGGCAGGAGGATCAAGAGTTCAAAGCCAGCCTCAGCAACAKCGAGGCACTGAGCAGCTCAGAGAGACCCAGACTCTAAATAAAATACAAAATAGGGCTGGGGATGTGGCTCAATGGTCGAGTGCCCCTGAGTTTAATCCCCAGTACCAAAAAAATAATAATAATGCTACTGAAACTTCTCTGAATGTGCCTGTTCACCCAGACACCGCTCTTGCAAAATTGCCCATTAAAACCTTGCCTCCACTGTACCTCATGTCTCTGAGCTCATTCTTTAGGTTTGGGCAGGTGACTATGATTTTCCCTGCCACCAATGCTCATCTTCTACACATTGGCCTTTGAGTAAAGGACAATCCAAACTTATTCCAGGAACATCCTCAATTAACAATTGCCCAGGCCAGGTTGGGAGGAATGTGGAGTTGGAGTTAGGAGGTCTCTAGCTCTGGGGGCTGCAAAAATGTTGCTTTGGGGCTTAATCCATCCTGTGTTGTCAGTGAGCTGGGGGGCAGGTAGGCGCTCAAGCCAGATAGGACTCATATCAAGAGGATGAACGAAAGGCAGACTAAAGGACTGGAAGAGGTAGGGGCCTCAGCAGGACAGCCATCTCTCAGTGAGCTTGATTACCTAGAGAAATCTGAACGGTGAGCCACCAAAAAGGAGCTGGAGGAATCAGTCAACTGCAGATACAGGAACCACTTTAGGCAAAATTAGGAGATGTTGTTGCAACCACCCACCAAATRTGAGCTGTAAACATGTGTCCTGTGATTTTGCAGAAGTGACGGATGCCAATGTGGGACCAGTCTCTGACAGTCTCAGGAACCGAGATGTACCTACCTATCATCAACCCACYGGGGTGCACAGCAGTTAAAATTACTTGTAAAGTTACCCTAAAGACAAGGTCAACACGTAATGCTTTCCAACAATGACAACAGGGTCTGTGCAGAAGGGGAAATTAACTTATTATAAGTCCAAGACCTTGGAACAAGGATCTACCTCCACCACTGAGGCTCATTTTATTGTTGTTTTAATTTGCTTTTATTTTCTAAATACATGACAGTGGAATGYATCACAATTCTTATTACACATATATACCACAATTTTTCATACCTCTGTTTGTATATAAAGTATGTTCACATCAATTCATGTCTTCATACATGTACTTTGAATAATGATGTCCATCACATTCCACCCTCATTAATAACCCCCTGCCCCTTCCCTTCCCCTCCCTCACCCTGCCCTATCTAGAGTTCATCTATTCTTCCCATGCTCCCTCTCCCTAACCCACTATGAGTCAGTCACCTTGTATCAGAGAAAACATCTGGTATTTGTTTTTTTAGGATTGGCTAACTTTACTTAGCAATATCTTCTCCCACTTCATCCATTTACTTGCAAATG